TGGTGTGTTGAGGTTCTCTTTGAAATTAAAGAAGTTAAAGATAAAGTTGCGGGAATGGAATAAACAAATCTTTGGCAACATTTTTGATAATTTGAAACAAGCGGATGATGAAGTCAGAGTCCTAGAAATCAGATTTGACGAAACTCGGGATGATCGAGATCTTATTAGCCTCAACAGAGCAAAAGCTCATCTTCTAGCAAAATTGAAGGAGCATGATGATTTTTGGCGATAAAAAATAAAGATGAAAAGGCTTAAGGAGGGTGACACTAACACATCTTTTTTTCCATGATTCTCTAGTGGAAAGGAAAGCAAGACTTGGCATATATAAGATTCAAACTGAAGATGGTCGATCTCTAAGTGATCATGCAGAAATTGGTGATCAAGCAGTCGCATTTTTTAAGGATTTACTCACAAAGGAGGATGGAGTCAATAGGCTAGAAGCTCAAGAAGAATTTTTGCAGAATATTCCTTTTGTCTTAAATGAAGACGATTGCGCCGCCCTAACTAAAACAATCTCCATTGAAGAAGTTAAATGGGCGCTGGAAACTCTAGATAGAGATAGCTCTCCGGGAACTGATGGTTATGGAGGATCCGTTTACAAAAGCTGCTGAAATATAATCGAGGATGACCTTTTGATGGCGTGCGAGGAATTCATGATTGGTGTTCCTATACCGAGAGCAATAGCAAGTACACTGGTGGTTTCAATTCCAAAAAATGCGTGCAACCCTTTCGGATGTAAGGCTAATTGGTCTTTGTAACTTTGTGAATAAAATTTTCACAAAAATACTCAATGAAAGACTTACACCGATACTGCCGAAGCTTATATCGGATGAACAAGCGACGTTTCTAGCAAGAAGAGACATCACAGACAGCACGATTCTAGCTCAAGACTTATGCCACTTTTTGGGTCACAAAACGCAGGGAAATAATGTAATCTTCAAGGTGGATATGATGAGGGCGTTTGATAGGGTTTCTTGGGATTTTTTATTTAAAGTTCTCCAAAAATTTGGATTCCCATCTAGCTTCATTTCGTTGATCTCTTCAAATATAACAAGCAGATGGTTCTCCATTCTGTTAAATGGTAGTTCGGCAGGTTTTTTTAAAGCAACAAGAGGGAGAAAACAAGGTGATCCTCTGTCACCGTACTTGTTTATTCTTGTGTCGGAGGCGATGTCTAGAACGCTTAACTTTCTCATGGATAATTGGCGAATAGCAAGCTATGGTACACCTGTTGGATCGCTTCCGGTTTCACACTTCTGTTTTGCAGAAGATCTTGTGTTTGTTTGTCCAATAACTCATTTTCTATTTTCACTCATTTTACCTTTTAAACACAAAATCCAATGAAAAAAAAACATCATCCAAACAACTTTTTAATGTACCTTTTAAAATATTGTGTTTGGTCATTACTCTATTGTAAAGTCTTCGTTTTGGTCACTGAACTATTGTAAAGTCTTCATTGCGTTTGGTTACGAAACTATTGTAAAGTGTTGTGTTTGGTCACTGAACTATTGTAAAGTCTTGTGTTTGGTCGTTATATTATTGTAAAATCTTCATTTTGGTCGCTGAACTATTTTAATTTCTTAAATGGTCACTATACTGTAATACTTTCTAAATAAAAACTAAACTACCTTTTAAATCTCCTCTCAAATCCAAATCAAAAACTAAAATAAAACATTGTCCAAACAAGCACCTTATTGTCTTCACCAAGGGTCTAAGAAAATCATTATCGAAGTTAAACACCTTTTTCAGACAATATGACAAAGCATCATGTTAGAGAATTAACTGGCAGAAGAGCAACTATTTTGTTGATGAAAAATGCCGACGACTTAGAATCATGGTGATAAATCAGCAGCTCGGAATGCAACAAGTGACTTTTCCCTTCGTGTACTTAGGATGCAGGTTATACAGCAGCAGGAAGCGAGAAACAACATATCAGTTTCTTATTGATGCTTTGGAGTCACGGCTGGCAAATAGGAAGAACAAACTTTTAAGTCCGGGTGGCCGACTTTTGTTGATCAAACACGTTTTATCAGCAAATCCGTTACATCTTTTTACTACTATTGAACCTCCAAAAACAGTTTTGGATGCAATGGAGCACTGGTGTCAAAAGTTTCTTTGGGAAGGGATAGATAAAGGTCGAAGACATTGGCGATCTTGGGATAGAATAACGTTTCCGACACTAGAAAATGGCATTGGAATCCAAAAACTCCGCAACATTTTGAAGGCCTTTTCTTTCAAGTTATTGGGGAAACTAAAGACTCGACATGGCTTATGGGCTAATTTTTTTGCTATCTCTTTCACCCTCAGCTAGGAAGAAAACTTCTTGGACTCGGATAGAATGTATTGATTTGGAAGCAGCATCCCACTCAAAATTCTTAATACACAATGGCGATCGAAGCTTTTGGCATGACAATTGGTCGAATCTTGGGGTTTTATGGGATATTCCGGGAGAAACGAACCCGCAGCCGAATTTAAGCATAAGAGCTTTCTTCGGCAACAAAACTTCCTTTCTGGCTGAATTTCAACATTTTTTTTATCTCCTGATACTTTGTGTTTTTTTTGAGGGATTTGGTGCTCTCTTTCAATCCTGGGGTGGATTTTATCATCTAAAAACCGACTGACTCAGGACATTTCTCCATTAAATCAGCTTATGAAGTGTTGCACAGGAGAAGAGCAGAGGATGCATCATTGGCGAATATTTGGCATAAAAATATGTTGATTTGAATCTCTTTCTTCCTCTGGAAACTTTGCAACAAGCTTTTACCCTTTTCGGAGGTAATCAGTCGCTCTGGAATTAAATCTAATCCGTCTATTTGCCTAATGAGTAGGGAAAATGAGGAAACAATGCAGCATTTCTTCATTGACTGCACTAAATAAAGGGAGATATGGAAGCACTTCGTAAACCCCTTCAACATCTCGTTGCCGCAATCAGCCACAATTTGGAACATGCTTCAATTCTAGTGGTCTATAGGGAGTTCCAAAACTGCAAGAAAAAACCTTGATCAAACTTGCTCCGAGTTTCATTTTTTGGGAATTATGGAAGGTTCGAAATCAAGCGATTTTGAAGGAGTGACGATTTCCAATGATCATAGAACTAAAATGGTAATGGAGCACCTTTGGAATCTGCTCTTCATTCAATAGTTGCCAGCAAATATTCATGCAGAATGACTTTTAGTTGAAGGAGCTTTTGCGCAACTCAAAGTTTCAGTGAAAGAAAGAAAAAGCATAGTCATCAACTGGCAACATCCGAATCCAGGTTATTTTGTTCTGAACGTTGATGGCTCTTTCAATCATGATAATATGGGATCTAGCTATGGTTTTTTATTAGAGCCGACAACGGTTCTTTTATATATGGAGAAGTAGGATACTTGGGAGATGGTGACAGTTTCTCGGCGGAATTGCACGGTATTCTCTTTGGCCTTCGGAAAAGCATTCAGCTTGGCATTATTCACTTGGAGATTCAGACAGACAATCAATTACTAGCCCACCTTCTTCAAGATTCCAAAAATTTTCCATGGAAATATTTCTTCGAATTGAAGGAAATTTTTTCTTATATTCAAAGGAGAATGTATAAAATAGTTCACGTTTATTGTGAAACTAATGGTGTGGCGGATAACTTGGCACGTATTGCATCTTTAGGGGAATCAAAAGTGTTCAATCAAATAATTGATCTTCTGAGAAAGATAAAAGGTCTTCTGGTTATGGATCAAAATGGTTTTCCTTATAAGAGGAAAAAAATGAAATTTTAATACAACAGGCCTTGCTATTTTAGGTATAGAACATTTTCTTTTATCTTTTATCATCAAACTGATATGGGATTTTGCATAATCTTTGTTAGTCAGTTCATAGTTTTTAATCTTTCATTTATACATTTGAACTGTAGGGGGATTTTAGACAATCTTTGTAAGACAGTTCGTAGCTACAATTTGTTTAAGAACCGTCATGGAGTTTTTTAGAAAAAACTTTTGAAAGACAGATTCTTCTTCTATTGGATAAGTTTTAAGCACCACCTTCTGTATCTTTTACATTTATATCAATAAAATCGGGATCCTCCCGCTAGGTACCGCCCTGGATTCATCTAAAAAGAAAAATCAAACGTACATTAAATTTTAATGATAAGTCAAAAAAATTATTACAAAATAAAAGAAATAATTGAAGCAGCAAATTAGTGCTCGTGAAGGGGACCAAGATAAAAAAATCTGATCCGTTCACTTGTGTCAAACACGGGTAACATATTAACGAGGATGATTGATATGTGGTTCTGGGGTCCTGGCTTTATAAATAGAAAATATTCGGCGAAAGAAGCATGAAACAGAGCATAATTTGCACCTCATGCATAATATTTGATCTCTTGAATTACCCATCTTTTGTTTTGAAAACTGGTTGGGATGCATTCACAACACAGAGAAAAGACATATGATGAATACCGACATCAGCTTAGAAAGTACGGTCGAAATTGGTGCATGGAGTGCCACAGAGAAGTTTCTTTTTATTTTGAAAGTTTGGACCCGGTGGATGAGTTGAAAATGTTAGTCGATGCTTGTTTATCAATTGAAGAGTGGAAGAATGTATTGTACGATGTCATTACACCCCACGAGTAGTTTGTGCATATGAGGCAATTGGTTACTGTAAGGAAGTTTGAGGTACAAGAAGCTACTTTGGATTTTGAGCATGTAATTTCAATTGACTTGCCTTTGATTTGTAATATAGTCATGAAGTTGTTGTCCCGTGATTCCAATAAGTAGTTTGCATACATATTGTAACTTGTAATAATATGCTATAAGTTATCTCCTATTAATTCCGGCCTCTCTACTCTCCAATTTCATAATTTTGTCATATTGATTGTTCGACAAATGTTGTATAAATGGTTATTTTATGGACATTTCAATGAAAATTTATCTAGGATTAAACACCTCATCAATGTGATAAAAGGGAAAATACGATTAAATTTTATAATTAGAAGGGAAAAAATTATTACAGAGAAGATAAAAAACAGGAGATCAAAAACTTTCATCGGAATCACTGTCAACATCAGTGGCCCACCAGTCGGCCGAATCCCATAACCCCCCCAACTCATCTTCCTTGCCTATATCTTTATCCCTTTCCAGCAGCCCTTCTGTTTTTTCTTTGACCAATTCGAGATCGTCCTCCAACTCTTCCAATGGGCCCTCAATGGCTGCAAAGCCATTGTTAACCCTTGCACCAAACTGTTTGATTTGCCTAATCAAGTCCTGCAACCGTTGCGTAATTTCCTCTGCTGGAACTACGTCGACCGGGCCTCTAAGAGGATCAGCGGGAGCAAGGACTTCGTTGCCGAATATAGGGCCATCCAAAACTTTATCGTAATCTCTATTTCGTTGGTGATTCATTCTTATTTTTCCTTTTTCTAGTATGAAAGTCTATAAGGGTGCAGGATATATATAGTCGTACATGAAAGTTGTACATAAGTGGGAATTGGGAAGAGGAATTTTGAAGGTTGTACATTAATAATTTAATAGGAAGAGGAATTTTGAATGTTGTCAATTAATGAAAGAGGAATTTCGAAGGTTGTGCCTTATTTTGGTTGTAGCACATGGGACTGTAAGCGAACTGATTCAACTAATGAATTTGGAACATAATACACATGAATAGTGAAAATTGAAAAATGAAAAGTATAATTAATTGACCCAAATTAAAAAAAAAAACAATTAGTCTAGCTATCCTAATTGAAAAGTTGTTGGTTTAACAAATTTCTAGTAAAATTGTAGAATTTGTTCAATGATTCATTAATGTATCCATAAGGATAAGTTAGGAAGATTAGTATGAACGTTGTTAGTTAACTTAGTTTTATTAATCTGAGTGAAAATTGGTACAGGTCTATTGAATTCAGACGGAAGAAGTATAAGTTAATGACCAACGTCTATATCAGTTTGTGTTAAATGGACTATAAATTAGTGAGCAACGTCTATCGTATTATGAATGGTGATAATCACAATATGATTTTCTAGAAAAACATTGTAAGGCAATGCTTAGATTAATTTGGATTAGAACTATCTTGGGGTTTTAGAAAATATTTATACTATGGTTCTTTTAATTGGGTAAGTGTTAAGCACTGCATTCTGTACTCTTTATTTTTAAATGAATAAAATCGAGAGAATGTGTGCCAGGTACCGCCCTGGTTTCTCTAAAAAACTAAATAATAAAAAAAGAGCAGAGGTGAAGAATTGATTGAAGATCTATCCTTAGGTTGCAGGGTAACTCTTGCTATGCCTTGCTTGGAGTCATTAGCAGAGTGTATGATGGGTGCTTTTAGGAATTAGGTTGGATAACGAAGGAGAGTGATGGTTCCTTAGATAGATTCATTTGGTAAGAAGATCTGGATAGCAATGGGATTCATTGAAAATCATGTAATGATATGCGCGTAAGTTGAAATGGAAGGGAGTACTGACATGAAAACTATACAAATTAATCGAGCTTTGCTAAGGAAATTAACATGAAAAATTGGAAGCAATGAGACGTTGCTCTTGACAAGGTTTTTCAAAGTTAAGGAATTGTCACTGTTAGAGTTTTCGGGAGGTGAGGGTTAAGAATAGTGTAACTAGGGTTGGGATGAGATTTTGTGGGGGAGAGGGGGGGAGGGGAGATATGCTAAAGCCTAGTTAGAGTGGAAAGTTAGAGACGCGAGAATGTTTGGTATTTGATAGGAGTGGATTCTTAGAGTGACAACTCTTTTAGGGAAGGCATTTACTATGGAAGGGGTGAGAAATATAAAGGTTATGGATCTTATTAACGAGAGAAGAAGGTGTTAAATGCACCTTGTTATGGGTTTATTTCTTATGGAAGTGATCCCAACATCATGAAAATTTCTATTGAGAGAGCTAGCCAAATACAAAGAGATAAACTGCATTGAAAACGGGACAGAAAATATACCATCAAACCAACATATCATTTGACAATGAATATGGAGGAGAAAATTGACCAATAACATCAGCAGTTCAAGACATAGATGGAAAGGGGAATTTTTTTTTTTGGAAAATTTTGTAGGATTGATGTCCTTAACAAAGAAGGTTTTTTCATATACAAAGCATATTCTGATGATTGTCCAACAGATTTAGAGCTGCGGAATTGAGGGCAGTTAGTACCTCTGACATGTCATTGATGTGATGCTGAGGAGACGGTTGACCATGAGCTTCTAGAGTGTTTGGAATCTCAAGTGGTATAGTGAATGTCACCGTGTGAATTCTTTTGTTTTAAAAAGTGGATGGAGCAGTATTCCACGAAGAAAGATTTGGAATTGAGATGATGTATTTTTGTGGTCCTAGAAATAAGAGATAATGGGAAGAAGAGAAATGAACCCTTGAAAACAATAGCAGAAGCATGATAAATTATGAGACTAGTGTAGAGAACTAATAAAAAATGTGTACAGTTTGAAGTCAAGTGGAAAATAATACAACTGGTGGGAGGAGGTTATGAACGTTAGTTTAAAGGAATTTCTCAAAAGTTATTGCATACAATACAGAGCGGGATGGCTAAGAACCTGGAGGTGGATGAGTTCTGGTGCCTAAAGATGTTAAGGAAAAAGAATTACAATGGAAGACCAGAGACTGTGAGACGCTTTGAATTGTTGGATATTTTGATAACTCTTAAGGTCTCATGGTGATCATATGTATGTGCATATTTTGACATATTCAAAGAGAGCTGTGCAAATTTTAAGAGTAAAGGAGAAGGTACCAATATGGTATGAGAGTCTAGAATTAGATATTATCAATTTAGCCAAAAATATGGATATATGTAGGATAACTGAGATAGGTGGGCAAACATTAGCAGTGTGCATGATTTAGCCTATAATGCATCTATTGAATCTTGAATTTGATATCGATGGTTTAAATTCTAAAAGAGAAATCGGATATCACTTGTCTAAAGCACCACATAAGCAAAAATCCTATGTGTAATTTTCTTGAGCCTCTAAAAATTTTTAGTGTAGTTATTAACAAGTCCTCTAATTTTCAAAGAAAATCATCAAAAGAAACTATAACAACAAAGATTTCCTAAATCACATTTGATAACCAGATTTGATGTTTACACTTCGAAAAAAAACCCCTCAGATTCCATGTTTATCGTCATTTCATCATAATTGATAACCGGATTTGGTGGATACCCCCAAAACAACCAGATTATATGTTTCTTGTAATTAATTTCAAAAAACTTCCAAGATAAATCAGTTAGATTAAAAATATATTGCCCAAAACTAGGTGTATATTTTAATTGAAAGTTACATCCTTCACACGTACGACATGTCTATAAAAGTGATAATATGTGAAATATCAATTGCTTCCGCCTTTGCGAAAGGCGGCTAAAATTCCCCCCGATTGGAATAGACCCAAAATATAGATTTATGAAGAAAACAAAGTTGGATGGATATCTCATAAACTTCATTGTTGGATTCCTTTTTTCCTTCTTCGATTCTATTGTATTTGATGTTATCTTTGTTCCAATATGACAATCCATTCGATTTTCTTTTTGAAACCTGATAAACCGTCTCTCTCTCTCTCTCTCTCTCTCTCTCTCTCTCTCTCTCTCTCTCTCTCTCTCTCTCTCTCTCTCTCTCTCTCTCTCTCTCTCTCTCTCTCTGTGTGTGTGTGTGTGTGTGTATTAATATGACGTTGTGATAGATAAATCACATTTTAGAATAATGAACACTCCATTATTGTTTTGTTTTGGTCAAAACTAAAACTAAAAAGCGGTAGGTTTTTAGCAGTGGCAGAGCTAGGATTTTAAGTTGGGGGTGCGAATTAAAACCAAGATACAAGTGCACTAAAAATTTTAAAAAATATATATTATTTTTTAAAAAATATTTAGAACCATTTCATTAATATTTAACACATTTTTGCAACTAGAATTTATAGTGTTATGTGGTTCAAATTTATTTATAAAATATGTGTTTTTATGGAAAATTTTAGAACAAAATGTTCTAAATTGGAAAAAGTTTTTATATAAGAAAAAAACATGGATTCTTTCTATTACATCAAAATCACTCCAAGCAATATATATATATATATATATATATATATATATATATATTATCTAAAATTTCATATCAAGATGTATCATTTTATATTTTCCACATGGCATAAAATTTTTTCACTATTTTCACATTTTAAAATTAACTTTTTAGCATATTAAACTTGATTTTGGTGTTCTAATTTTGTGCAAATTTGGGCCTTATTTGATTAAATGAAAATTTTATTTTTTACTTTGGGCCACAAAATCTCTTATAAGTAAATAGATATTTACATTTCATTCAGAAAATACATAATTAATACATTTCTTTTGGTAAAAGTTTGCTATTTAATTTATTTTATTTAAATTTTACATAAAATTGAGCATAAAAGAAAAACATTCTTTCAAGTTTTTGTATGTAAATTGACTAAAATATTTATAATACTAATTATTGGAAATGTTTTAGAGGGGGTGCGAAAATATACAAAATATTTATAGTTTTAATTAATTATAATATAACTATTAAAAAATTTAAAAACGGAGGGGGTGCGGCTGCACCTGCTATCCACCCCCTGCCTCCGCCACTGGGTTTGAGGTACTCTAGATATCAGTTCTTTCGTAACAAATTCAGGCGGGATTTCTTTTTCTAAAATATTCAATAATGGTGGTGCCAGATCAATTGTTGTACTAAATTTTTTGAATACAATCATTTTGTAAGAACGCCTCTTTCATAACTAACCAACTCATTTTCCATTCTGAGAGCAATTTATTCGTAACCAAATCATGTTCGTTCCTAAGACTTCATGTTCCTTTCTGAAACCAATTCTTTCGTAACCAATTCATTTTCCCTTCAGAGACCAACAAAGAATTCTTAGACTTTAAAGGTATGGTGGCATAAATTATTTTATTCAGACAATCAAGTAAGTCCAAATATTGTTTTCTTCCTTCCAAAAATTAAGGGAAAAGGACAAAAATCCCTCCAAGTTATGTCCTAAAGACTAATACTACCCCGAGTTTTCCTATGAGGACAATTGCCCCTCTTGACCTCCAGTCGACGCCATAATTGGTCTTGAGAGTTAAAATGACAACATACTTTTTTTTTTGTCTAAAAATAATTTTTTTGATCCATATTTTATCTTCTTCTTTTTTCAATGGCATATTTTGTTTAAAAAATCATTTGAAAAATTTATTTAGGAATAAAAATATTCACCGATTTTTGTTAAAAATAATTAAAAAAATAATTAATTTTTGTAAAAAACTAATTTAGTTAGGATTGAATTTTGGTTCCAAAAAAATTTATAATTTTTCCAAAAGTTAGCATAATTTCAACATTATTCATCTTTTGAATTTGTCCATTGTTATTAAAATCAATGTAGAATGTGGTTGAAGTATATCATTTTTTAAAAAAAGAAATTCAACTATAGATAAATTAAACAAAATAGGTTTTTGAATAAATCTTATCCTCAAGTAAATGTGTCTTATCCTTAAATAATAGGTCTTATATTTAAATAAATCTTTTTGATGATTTGTTAAACAAAATAAGTTGCTGAAAAAAGATAGAACTTATCCACAAAAATTTGTTTTAAGATGAAAAGGGTATTTTGGTCATTTTGGTCTTCAGGGGGGTCAATTATGCCATTGATTGGCGGTCAAGGGGGGAGTAATTGTCCCTATAAGAAAACTCGGAGTGGTATTAATCTTTGGGATATAACTCGGGGGGTTTTTGTTCTTTTTCCAAAAATTAAATAGTTCTCCTTACTATCATCATCTATTATTTTTATGCTATGTTCTCCCTTCCAAATAATTTTCAGCCCTCCATTAATATATATTTTGAAACATTTCAACATCATAAATTAGCAACTTACCATGAATTGGTTTTTTGTTTTTTGTTTTGATTTTTTAAATGACAGTTATTATTAAATTTTAATTTCAGCGAAAAATTATTCTTTTTTCATTTCTATAGTATATAGCGCAAAAAAGAACACCGTGATGGGAAGATAATTATAATTCTTTAACGTTCCTAAACATCGTGAACCTTCACTCTCTTTCAATTACAATTTGATTTATGGATTTTGAAGAAATTCACTTAACGCCTTTCCATATGCGTATTCTTAATAATATAAGTTATTAAAAAATTTAGACTCCATTTGGACAAGTGTTTTGAAAATTTGTTTATAAAAGTCTATTTGAATCAAAACTTAGAAAAGTACTTTTTGGAAAATAATGCATTTGGACAAGAATTTTTCAAAACCCTTTTAGTAATTAAAAATATTAAAAAGTCATTTGGACTAAGTCTTTTCCTAAATTACTTTCTCTTCAAAATAATTTGTGAAATTTTTTTTTTTAAAAAATAATTCTTACACAAATTGTCTTACCCCGGAGTTACACAAATTGTCATTTTCATTTATTTATTTTTCACTTTTCTTTCCTAAATTTTTTTTTTTCACTTTTCAAACGTTCCCTCCTGTTAGAATTGAAGACAAACCTCAAACCACCACAAAAAAGTCACCGCCGTCGCCAACGCTGCAGACTCCGAAAAAAAGTAAAACCGGCCATCATCATCACCTCCGATTAGAACTCAGAAAACCGCCGAAAAAGCCAAAGCCCAGTAATAATAAGGCCATCATCATCTTCTAGAAAGCCAGTTGAGCCAACATTACCCACAATTATATTCAATGCTCTGGACGATTTCATCAACACATTCATCGATCCTCCCGTCCGGCCATCCGTCGACCCCAAATACGTGCTGTCCAGCAACTTTGCACCGGTGGAAGAGCTACCTCCGATAGAATGTCCTGTTGTGGAAGGAATTCTTGGTGGAAGAGCAACTTTGTTCCGACCTGCCTCGACGGTACGTACTTCTGAAATGGACCCAACCCGCGATTCCTCCCCCGGGGACCTTAATTAATTACCCGATTTTTATAACCCGTCTTTGACCCGGATTCCGACCCGCGAACGGAGAAAAAAACTCTGTTTCAAAAAATTAAAAAATACCCCCTACCTATTTTTTAAAAAGTCTGTTTCATGCCTTGTTTTTTAAATTAATGTTTAGAAAAGACTTTAATTATTTTGTCCAAACACATTTTAAATTCTAAACAGACTTTTTAGGCTTAAAAGTCTTTTTAAAATTCTTGTCCAAATGGAGCTTTAAGAAACATAAAATTTATGTACTCCGTGTATTATACGGATACAACATCTAGTATAAATAAAGTTATATTAAAAAAAAAATAGAAATAAAGACAGATAAATGTAAAGCGGGGACAACGCGCGATTACTAGTTTACATTTTTTTTTTCAATTTTTTTTCCTTTTAAAACATTATTATTTACCATTTGTTTAAACTTTAAAGTTTAAGGATAAACGGATAAAGTTCCTTCTTCTGAGTCTCAAAACAACCAGCATTCCGCCTCTGCCACCGTCCCCGCCTCCGCCGCCGGCAGACAATACGACATGTTAGCTCCTTATCCAATATGCCATGACCTGTTTTCACAGCAGTTCAAGGTCTCAACTAAAGCTAAATTGTATTGTTCCTCAGCCCCACCTTCTTCTTCCGGCTCACTTCAGTTTCACTTCATAAAGTCTCAAAATTTGACGTTCCCGTTGAACGCACTTAGTTTAAGAAGCGGATGGAGGAAGAAGGTATTTTGCGGCAACAAACTTGCCGTCTCATCTTCCTTAGAAAACAACGGCGATGGAATTTCCTCGCCGTACTCTGTGAAAATCCCCGTGGGTGACCGGCATGTAAGTTGCTTTCAGCTTTGTGTTTGTTTTCTTCGCAATGTTGAAACTTAGGGTTGTCAATTAGGCTGTGTTTGGTGTTTGGGTACAAAATTACCGAATTACGCCCCACCGATAAACGCCAATGCCAACTTTTTGCGGACAATTTTTATGTAGTATTAGTTGTGCTACCGCATTTATGCATGAGGATTAAAAGCACGATCATGCTAGGACTAGTTAGATCAGTAGTTACTTAGTTGTAGGTCTGATGTTTTTTCCCCCTTTGTCATAGAATTTGTTTGTAGAAATGACACTGGCACTATTTTGCTCTTAGAAATGACAAAAGATCTATGTTACCTTGTACCAAATTGTGTAATGCAAAACACTTGAATGCTGGTTTCTATTCTATCAATTTCTGAAGGGAAAATTAGTATTCCTTGGGTCCTCAGAGTTTATGCTATGGTTTAAGTTTTACGAATCTTGATTTAGTTAATCTAGCGATTAGTTTGACTGTTCAAGGATGCTTTGGAATTTCTATCACGTTCATGATGTAATTTTCAGTCAGTTCGCTTAACCGAATTGCATGCTGTAATCATTTCTACATTAGTTTAAAATCTAGGAACTAATCTCATTTATTCAGAATCTTCCTCAGCCCCCCCGGGCAAATGATTGTTGTTTCTAGAGCTGATCTAGGCATAGCAGGCATGAATGGAGTCCTTGATGTTTTCCGAAAAAACTTTAACGACAATGATACTCAGAGCCAAAGAGAACAATTCTGCTCTCTTTAACTATCAGTAGGAATTTTAATGTGGAAGAACATTGGTAATGATAAATTAAACTTTAAAGAGAATGCCATTGATAAAGTGGAAAAATTGCTAACATGATTTTAACTCTTTGATGTAATTCTCATCTGCATGATCGCAGGCATCAATGATTGGAGCTATATTTTCACTCTGGCATCCATGTGAGCCATATTGTTGGTGAATCTATTGTAGTTAGGTTATAGTAAAATTGCCTCACAAGGCAGGAAGTATATGAGAGAAATAGATATTATTCAAACAAACTAATTAACAAACAAAGAAGCAGTTAGTCTTAGAAGAACTTGTTCTGGGAGAACCTGATGGACTGGGTAATGTATCTGTGGTAAACTGTGTTAGTAATGTAGTCCAAAAGATGGTGACCATTGAAATTATTCTGTCTTTATTGTTGTCTTAAGTCCTTTCTTTAAACATTTTGTTGTATTTAAAGTGTTGAGGGAACTTCCCTTTAAGTTCAGCAGATGCTCTCAGACTATTGGGTTTATTATTTCTGCAACATGTTAGACCAGCTTTGGTGGGCTCATAAGTTAGGTCAAACTGTTAATGTTTACCACTTCAAACTCGAGTTATTCATGTCAAAATCAGCTTGCTGAATTTTAGCTGTTTTGTCAAATATACTCAATTTGAAGAGTTTTGCTACACTGTCTGCTCTGCCTAATGTGCATTATTCTGGGCTCAGGCCACAGATGGAACAAATTGTAGCTAAATTTGGTCAGTGTTGAAGTCTGAACTCATGAGAGAAACTATGAGTTCTCTTCTCTTTTGCTTCTTATTACTCTACGATGTTTTAGTTTCTTCTTTCCTCTGATTATCATAACATCAACAATGAAGAACTGGGATTCACAATCACTTCTCAGGTGACCATTGTAATATTTAAATGGAAGTGGAAATCTAATGCACATGCTGCACCAAGTCCACTTGAGTATTTGCATCTATTAAAAACTTCGTTTATGAATCACGTATTTACAAGTTATGACATGATTACAAAACTCATGCTATTTATATTTTTAAGTTTGGATTTGAATAAGAAACTATGTATGATATATAGGAAAATGATACATCTGAGAAGTTGATTGTTTGCATCACAGAAACAACAAATTAAACTGAAAACGCATAAACTTCGGGAAATGGATTTAAGCATTTGATATCATATTTGAGTATATTAATCATATTATCCAGGAAAGCATTAAGTTTAGAACAATAGTTTAGCTTTCCGAGTATGTTACTTATCCCATTTTCCACTTGAAACTAAAAGAAAAAGAAAAGAAAACTGAACACATGAAAGTTATTTCAAAGATTTGAGGATTATGCAAGATTGCTCTCATACATGTTCACAATGTTTATTTTTTCCGAGTATCAATTTAAACTGAATGATTATATTGTTGATAGTGTGGCATTACAAAAGTAATGCGTTACACGTCATATAGATATGCATGTTCTTTTTCCATTTTCAAGAAACTTCAGGCAGCCCGTTCTTGGTATAATTCTAAAAATGGGTAGAAAGAGGGGCAGAAAGGCTGGCTTCTCAAGGGAAACGATAAATAAAACTAATTAACATGAAGTTGGTGAAATGATCAAAAGCTAATAAGACCTTTTATGAAAGGGTTGACAGTACTTTGTGCAGTGGAAGTCTTGTACTGATTGTAAAACGTCGATAATTTCTCCAAAAGAAACTGATTTAAATCTGACATAAACCAATCCTTGTTTTTCAATAATTCTATCAAACATCAATTGCACTGAAAATTTTCAACTATACCCCAGAGCACTTGCAAGCAAAGTGGCCAAAGTTATTACCATTCAGAAAAACCAAACCTTTTGCCTTGGTTTGCTGAAATAGGCCTATTATGGATGGTTCTTTTCTTAATAATTCTTGTTTTGCAATAGTGGTGTTGTTTTTGTGATTCGTTTGGTCATGGTTTAATTTCGTCATGGCGAATTATGCATTCTGAATATTACTATCCATAAGGATGTATGTACTTTCACATGGATGTGCAGAGGATGCTAATGTTGTCTTTTGTTGGCCTAGAATCTCCTTTGGAAGTTTGTTTCATGTGTAGATAATAGGTAAAGAAATAAGATTTGTTCATCATGGTATGCGATATGAGATTGTGGTGGCCATTCAGACATTTAAGGGACATATAAACCATATTTATGTTATCTTCTAATCTTTATCGTGAGCTAATCCCCCCCCCCCCCCCCCTCCCTCCTATTGTTATTGACTGCATTCTACCATTTCATAGATATTGGTTGAAACTGGTCGTATGGGGAGACAAGCTAGTGGAGCTGTGACAGTGACAGATGGAGAAACTGTATGTTTTTCTCTCTTTCCTTGTTATACTTGAATACATTAGTTCGGTACTTTAACAATGACTGAATGTCATGCCCATTGGTCACGTCAGACTACTTTTGTGATTTTCTGTTTTGCTACATTTAATCTGCTTTTTTTGCCTATTAAGGTTGGTGGTTCCCGTAGCTATTTGTCACCTTATATGACCATCTAGGTTGAACTGTAGTTGTCTGCCTTGTCTGAAGTAATGAAGTTGTGGAGACTCAGGTTATCATTCATAAATGGCAATGAGTGCATGCCTGCTACTTAATTAAAGTGGATTTTTTCTCTTCATAATATTGTAAAATTATTTTTAACCCTACCCCTCCCGGCTCCCGGTTCCTCCCCTTCCCGTGTTATTTAATGTTTTGTGTTATGGCCAGCAAAACCTATATACTTCTTGGAAAGATCTTGGTTTAAGCATTTTGGGTTCCTGATCAATATACCCTCCAATCGATATAGATATAGTGGTCTATACCTATGGTCTTCTCTCATGCATACTTTGACTTCCATTTGTTTCATAAAACAATATGATGGATCCTCTGGTAAATGTTTGCTGACACCTCAGTTATCTGGAAACATAATGATTGGATGGAATTTTAATAAGCCTTTGATATCATCTCAGTTGTGTCTAAGATAGTGATCTTCCTGCGTGGATATGCTAGACTTTAAAGCTTTAACATTGGTGGATTTGGCATGCTAAGTAATTAATTTATTATGTGCTCTTACAGATTATTTATACAACTGTTTCTCTTGCTGACGTTCCAAGTGAGCCTTCAGATTTTTTCCCCCTATCTGTACATTATCAAGAACGATTTTCAGCTGCAGGGCGGACAAGGTACATATTGCTCTCTGCTTTTTCTTCTTATTCTCTTTTTTCCCGCAGCATATATTCTTAATGTAATACTTATATCTGCAGTGGGGGGTTTTTTAAACGAGAAGGAAAGACTAAAGATCATGAGGTACTTCTTCCTGAAAATTATTATGTCTATGTTCCCAAAGACTGGTACCTAAAAATTATCAGAAGTAGAGAAGTTCAATCATCAATTGTATGAATGATTTTATTAATTTTTAAGAGTTTTTGGAATTGCAGGTCCTTATTTGTAGATTGATAGATAGGCCGTTGCGCCCAACAATGCCCAAGGGCTTCTATCATGAAACTCAAATATTGTCTTGGGTATGATGTTTATTGTCTTTATTTTTTTCATCACCTAGTAGAAACTTCTTTGTGTTTTGAAAATCTTGATGTTCTTACCATGACCCTCTGTTGGGCTCTAAGGTATTAAGTTACGATGGATTGCACCCTCCAGATTCTTTGGCAGTTACAGCCGCCGGAATTGCAGTGTAAGTTAGCCTTGTCTTGCTTACATTGATTCTGGTAATGATGTATTTTTTGGGTACTAGTAATATCTGCTTCATTATGTAATGTTACAGAGCCCTGTCAGAATTGCCAAATTCAGAACCTGTTGCCGGTGTCCGAGTTGGTCTTATTGGTGATCAGCTTGTAGTGAACCCAAGAACAAAGGAGATGGAAAATTCAAAACTAGATTTGTTGATAGCAGGCACGGAGAGTGCCATATTGATGATCGAGGTTAGATTTTCTCATTACCTGTGTAAAAGAAATTTGAGAAGTTATTGTTTTCTGTTACCACAGTGCCTAATTGTTGGTCTCATACATAACATTAGGTTCGTTAGGTTCAATCTGGTTTAGTTCTCTCTTTTTCCGTCATTGTCTGTCTCTGTTTGTCTAGTGTGCCTTATTCCTCCTAAACTTGTTCAAATGAATTTTTTCTGTTTCTAATCCGCTGCAATTCATTTCTGTACTGCTTTCAGTATCTTCCAATGGACCTGAACTTTTGCAATTGTATTTATTTCAAAACATGCCACCTAAAACAGCAGGTTATTTAGGCATTGAACTGTAGCTGTTTGTTTGGAAAAACACAAAGTTGAATGGAGGGAGTCTGAACGCCTAACATCCAAGGTTTCAATATCAATAATCTGTATGTGTTCACTGTATAAACTAGCTATTCTGAGCTAACCATGAAAACATTTGAATTGAATTAGGGTTATTTAAGAAACGAGCTCAAACAATGCAGAATAACAGAGCATCTTCTAGGATGTTACACTTTCAGGAAAATATAGTTGGCAAGTGATATCTAAGTATTGATTAATTAGAACTTGTTAAGTACCTGGTCCCTGCTGAGCCTTTAATAGAGAAATAAGAATCTAGTTCTTCGATTTTGAGAATAACTTGGAATTTCAGACTCAGGGTTAATCTACACCATTTGAGAAACAAAAGAACTCATGTCCACTTATGAGCTCAACAGAAATGGAAAAGTTCTGTATCAGTTCCATAATTACACGTTAAGTAGTTACAGTACAGTCCTATAAGCGATTAACTAGTAATTTAGCTCTTAATTGGAGATTGAAATTCAACTTTTTAAAGTTTTTTGTCCTTACTTTGTGGTGGTGCTCGCAAATTTTTATTTTCAAGCCATACCTTCATGATTATAATCCATTAACGTGTTGATCAAGTATCCATTTGATGAAAAATCTGTGGGTACAACTAATTTTTGCCAAATTCAGTCTTTCTGGTTCATCCACGTGTTTTATCCTTGCCACCCCGTCACATGTTTGCAGCTAGTTTCTATTATCTTCTATTTTATAAATGTATTTGGCAATTGCTTCACATATAATTTTACCATTTATTCATAATCATTGACATTTTTTCTTATCTGAGTTTTTGGGTAAGTTTTGAGTTTCACATTGTTTGCTTACATATCTTTGTGTTTCTTATCTCACAGGGGTACTGTAATTTTCTTACTGAAGAGAAGTTGCTTGAAGCCGTACAAGTTGGGCAGGTTATTTACCATATTGTTTTTAAAAATTGATATCCTTAAGTTGCCTTTGTTTGTGGTTTGATTCAGCACATCAACATTTATGTTAGAATAATTTGGAAATGATATTTTAGTGGATGTTTTAGTCTTTCCAGAAGTCGCTGGTCTTTTAACTTAAATTTTTATTTAAAAAAGGATTTGATATCAATACTTTAGAGAAGATATGGAAAAACTTCACAACATTGCCTGTAAATATGCAATATTCCAAATCGCTAATGTGCATCAAAAGAATGTTGACAGTTTCATTTGGTCTCTGTTGTACTTAAAGCACTTGTTGGTTCGTGAAGGAATAATATTTCTCATTTTCAGGATGCCATTCGAGGAATTTGCAAACAAGTAGAAGGTTTGGTGAAGATATGTGGAAAACCTAAGATGTTTGATGCTATTAAATTGCCCCCTCCTCAGCTATATAAGCTTGTTGAGGTATCCCTGCGCTTTCTCCCTTTGCAAATAACCTAATTTCACTCTTTTGTGAATACTATATGTACTGTCCAATTTTGTATGACAGAACTTGATCTTCAACTAACTGGAGTGTATGATTTGATTTGCAAAAAGTCTTGTTATGCCTCCAGGTAATTGATGCAGTTGGTTTTGTACCATTTACCACAGCTGTATCAATAGTCCCATATTAGTAATAATTAGAATGCTTCGTCCAACTTTGGTAAACAAGTGGAAATGTGAGGAGTGAAGAGAGTGGGGGAAGGAGTTGATGCAAGGAACCCACTTTTTTCTTTTTGTTTTCAGTATGATTGTGAATTTCTTCTGATATCCATTGTTAGAGATGTAATATAGATACTGTTATAGTAGGGTATATATGTGTACTTCAAATGTTTCCACCTTCCTGAACATTATGCACTAAGGAGGTTTTCCACAGTTCTACTACTTTTCTTAATTTGGTATTAGCACTATCACCAGCTTATCTCCAAACCAAGTACTTAGGTCCTTTAAGGGATTTCTTAGGTATTGAAGTTGTGGAATCGTCTTAAGACATCTTCGTATCCAAAGTAAACATGCCGTTGACATTCTTTTTATTGAAAAAGCTGAAATCTTTTAGTTTTAAATTATAATTCAGTAATCATATTATTAGGTATATGTTTTGGAAGATGCTTTCATCATTCTTTGTAAATGAGTTGTTTCCTTTTCCAATCGCAATATGAAAATGGATCATTCTTTGGAAGACCCAATTAAAGAACTTTGTCTACAGTGTCCAAGTTCTATGTGTCGTCATGTACTTTTTGGGAGGCAACTCGTATTTCCTGGAAAAGCAAGAAAAACCTTTTGTTGCTTGCTCCAATGCAGGGGCTGAATGTCGGGCTATGAGACTGTCACATGTGATTTAATGTGGTTGAAACATCTATTGGTTTAAATCAATGAACTGATGCCCAGTCGGTTATAACTATGCTTCTGTATGCATTGCTTTTAATGGTATCTTCTTGAACAAACTACACATAAGGGGATAGATTGTTACTACTTTTAGCTATGGATCTCAATTGATCTATTAGCTGATATTTTCACATCGCGTGGTGCTTTAGCATATTTGAGACAAGTTAGGAACACATGATTCATGCAACTTGATGCGGAGCTTTGGAAATGTGAAAATATTGATAAAGTAGGGTTCATATGCATGTCTGCTCACTGTTAATCCACGTAAGATTGACTTTATGCACCAATAGTATTTCCCCAGTTCTGTTTTTCCATGCCCCTCAAGAAGGGGATCTGAAAAATTTCCATCCGTATTGAGATGTTTCAGAATCTATGTTGGCTGGCTCTGTAAAACTTCTGTTCTTTATTCTTTTAAAGGTTCATCCGGAACATAGAATCCCTAAAATTATAGATTTGCATGGAGGCTAGGAAGAAAATGTGATGATTCAGGGTTTACTTTAAGTATGATGTCTAAAAAACTAACTTTGTGAAAGTAACTCATATGGCGTTTTGTTCTTAGCTATGGTTGGAATAGCCTATGTTATTGATATATTTGACGAAGTGGACTTGAGTGATAGAAGTTTGATTCATTCAGTATTAATGTGTCATCATTTCTACCACTATATAATCGGCATTCTGGTATTGCATAGGATTTTCTAAAGCAAGCTAATTCTCCTTATGGTCTGATGGCCTAAAGTTTCTGCTGCCTGCCTCTTGGTAGTTTACTGGTTTCATTGAGGTTTTTGATGTGCATATGGAATTTCAGTGTGATAACTTTTTATACATTTTCTGCCTGTTTTAGGGCTTTCTATTGCTACATTTATTAGCATGAGCTTAATGCAAACATGCTGATGCAAAGTGACTGGCTGTAAATGATGCCTGAATGGACCATTCTGTGTTTTACTTGTCAGTTTCACATCTTTAAACATAGATTTATCCATGATACCATTGCCACTCCATGTGAAAATGATTGGTGGGTTCCCTTTATTATTTAAAGTCTTTGTGTTTTCAGTTTACTGTATGCTACCATGCTCTGTAACCTACTTATTTAGCCACTGCTTCATTCTAATGCTCCATGTGTTTGAGATGTCGTGTTGATGTTCCATTATGTCTCTCTTCAGGAAATTGTTGGTGAAGAATTAGTTGAAGTGCTGCAAATAAAGAAAAAAATTCCTCGAAGGAAAGCTTTAGCATGTTTGGAAAACAAGGCTATAAGTATACTTACAGAAAAGGGTTACATTGCTGATGTTGGAGCTGTTGGATATGCTGAAATGATACCAGAAGTAGTTGAAGATGAAGAGGATGAGGAAGTGGTTGTAGATGGTGAAGTTGATGAAGGTGATATTCACATCAAGCCAGTTCCCCGAAAAGTTCCAGATTTGGTAGGTTCTACCTCTTTCTTTGCGATAGCTGTTTAAAAACTCGTATTCCCTTCTCGCAACAAACATCTATGCTAGATATCTTAAGTTTTCTCATACATGTAATGTGTGTTGACCTTGTGTAATAATTACTAGTTCAGACCCAATATTGCAACCCTTTTATAAAATTTCCCACACTATTTTATCCATAAAGTATGTGATAGAATAAATTCCTATCATGATCATTCCAGATGGCTGAACCTAGACTGTAAATAGCCTACCGAGTATGCCCAGAAACATCCAAATAATGCACTTACAACTTTATCAAACATGACATGATGTAATGTTTTTTTTTTTTTTTTTTGGTATAAAGCTGTGAATATATTAATATTACAAACAGACTGAGCTGTACAAGGGCTTTACCAGTAGATCAAATTTTGAAAATAAATCTAATCTATTACAAAATTCTTCGAAGGAAACAGTTGATTCAAAATTTGCTTCTCCTTTCCTGAGCACTTTCTAGCACAGCAGCTTGTTATGCTTTTTATCTTTACTTCAGCGTGGATGATTTGTAACAACATCTCAAAAAGTCGTTTATTCCTTTCTTCCCAGAGGTGGTACAGACATTCCATGAAAACTGACCAGAATATTTTCTTCTTCAGTTTCGTAGGCCACCAAATATTATCACTAGTTTATGCCATTTTTGTAGTTCAGTAGACAGTGATTTCAGTCCAAGCCAACTTTTTACTCTATTCAACAACTCTTCGGAATAAGGACATTCAAAGTACAAATGAGTCAAACTTTCATCTTTAGTTTCACATAGCAACAAACAGTATTTTGCACTGGAACATGCAAATATAACATTTGATCTTTAGTCCAGATACGACCCTTCCAAATCAACCATGCCATGAAAGAATGCTTTGGTAGGTTCAGTCTAGACATGATATAATGCTGCTAGTGTAAGTCTTGGAAATATGACACAAGACATCCAGACAGCAATGAGTATACCTGTTGAATGATATCTTTTGGCTTGATATCCAACTGAATCCTTGTATTATTCAGATTTAAGTTTAGAGATGCGTATAGTTGTTTGTTAAGTCAATACAAGACATGCTCTAGAACAGGTAGTGTAAGTAGAGCCATATATAGTGCACATTAATTAGCTTTGACCTCGTATTCTTAGATGCAGAAATTATTGCTTGGTTTTCCATTTTTTTTTTAACTGTTGTTTCTTTTCTGGCACTGATATTTTGTCATGTTAACGCAATATTTGAACTCCAACATTTCTTTTGAACCTTATACGAGTTCAGGCTATTGCTTTTGTGTCTGGGCAAGCAGCAATTGAAAACCTATTGCGTGGAAACTGAACTTTGTGTAACTAGCTATGACATAAAAATGACACTCAATTTGATACATAAAATGACCTGCCTCCTTTAGTATTACAAAACCGGTACATAAACTTTTCCTTCATAAATGAACTCCCTATGTACTTGACACAACTATTAGTTATTTTGATTTCTTTAAATACTGTGAAATGGATTGGAAGTTAAATGGCATGATTGATAATTAATTAGAGGTTTGATGAAAATGCAGGAAGATTAGTGTTTACTGGGTATTGTGGTGCATCTAAAAGTTTACAGGGTATTAGAGTATTTTGAACTCAAAATCAGAAGTGTCTCACTGCTATGCTGTAATTAATTGTTGAATGGCTGAATGGCTGAATGGCTGAAGCTGAATCCCCACTATATGCTTTGAGCTTGAAATACTATTTGTTTTCGTTCGATATGATTGCTTAAATTAGTCCCTGTATATGCTAATTCCCTTTTTGTTTCTCCTCTCTCAGACATTTACTGAGGTAGATGTGAAACTTGTTTTTAAAGAAGTCTCATCCAGATATCTTCGTAAACGGATTGTTGAGGTAAGAACTTCCTGGCACAAGACGTTAGTGATTCAGTTTGCATGTATTTATTCCTATTTGCTTTGTTTTCATCTCCACCCATAATTGTCTGAATGTGTTTTGATAGCAGCTTTTGTATCTGTTATTGATTGAAAATTAAATTTGGATGAAAGAAGCCTTAGGGGCTTGTCATGTTTACGTATGTGTTATACTTGTGTCTGACTGTGCTTCTTGTTCAGTATATGAAAGTAAATACTGAACTATTCTATCTGTATGATCTATGTTTGGACATAATGACTCATGGATTACTCGAAGGATACAAACCATTATGTATGCATTCTAGAGGTGTATGGTTGCATCTGATGATGCGTGTTCTATGACCATAACTTTCTGGATCAGTTTTATTAGATGAGCAAGATCTGCATATGAAAATCAAATACAAAGATTAATACCTGCCATAAACCCTTTAAATCTGCCATGAACATGATGGATTTGAAGAATATACAACAGATAGAAGATATAAAGAACTAAAGAAGGGCGGTCATACAATACGTTCCAGCCCTAAACCCATGATTTCTGGTCTAATTAGGACTTGCATAATGATGAAGGCTTAAAGCAAGGGACCAAATGAAATAAAATAACTTTTATTTGATTAGAAATTCTCTCTTTGAACTTGGACCTACTGAACATGAATTGGTTTTTTCGACGTGGTCTCATTTCTTTGCATTGTAGACAATGAAACTGGCCACTCACAAATGTATTTCAATAGCATAAAATTACCATTCGAGTTGTGATTATGGGGCCTGATGGAGAATTGACCAATCAACAATAGATTATGGATCATGTATTAGCCTTTGTGGACTCTGATTGCATCATGTCGTCTGATGGTCTATTACGTTAGTAGCTAACATACTAAATCAGTGCTAACAAGTACTCTGGAGGAGTCTACCTGAGAGATTTTCGCTTCTTTTCCATTGATATCATGGATTCGCTCCTGCCTTTCTGTGCTTGTAATGTAGATACAATTGGGATGGATATTTTATTCTATTAAGAAGATAAGTTCAGAATGGGAACGAAATCATGAGAAGCTTATTGAAGGATATTTAGACATTAGCTACTTGTGTAATTAGATTTCTGTTACCTGGCTAAGATATGACAGCACTTGTTTGTGAAATTTGGCTGTAAACTGCTAATCATTTGGGAGCGCAGCTGTGTTAATCTGAATCTTAACTCTTTCATATTGGTGATTTATGGTATAGCTTCACTTCTTTCTCTGTTGCTAGGGAGGAAAACGAAGTGATGGCAGGACACCACAGGAGTTGCGGCCAATAAGCTCTTGTTGTGGACTACTTCCCAGAGCACATGGAAGTGCACTTTTTACTCGGGGGGAAACACAGGTCTTAATTAATTTTTATTTCAGCAATAAAATTTTCTAACTTCCACATATATCCATGGCATTTCATAAATGCTTGAGTTCTACCCTTTTTTGTTTGATGTCTCTATATCTGATGCTTTTCATGCACGATCTAGTTTCACTTTTGTTGTTGATCAATCTTGGGCAGCTACTCTACTGTGTAGTCTCCATTATGTCCTCATATTTTCGAGATTTTCCAACATTTCTGCTTGAGTTCTACACATTTGCACATTATAGCCATATATAGTGGTGTTGTCTCTCATTCCACAGTAGACATACCCATGAAGGATGAAATCACTAAAAGGGGATCTTAACTGGTCAATGACTTTGATATCAATTTAGCGCATAATCAATGTTCTCTGGTCTTTTGTGAACTCCTGGATTGTCTATCATGTTAATAATACTGTGGATATGTCGACTGTTTATCTCGTCTACAGATGTTTCATTTACCAAAGGGAAAATTAGTATTCCTCTAAGAGTTTGGAGATCCTTTGTTCTCAAGCACTTGAATCTTGCACCATTTGTCTCTGTACACTAATCGAAATGGTTTCAAGTTTTTAAATTTCCATGTGCTAAAGTAACTCAGACTCCAAATAGGTTTGTTTTACCAATTGTTCGTGTTCACTGTAATCAAAATGATAACAACTTCAAAATGATAATGTTGTCATAAGGGTGCTCTTTTCCTTTCTGCAGATCTCCTGAATGCTGATAATTAACCTGATTTAGTTTTCCTTTTCCCAGTCACTGGCTGTCGCGACTCTTGGTGATAAACAAATGGCGCAGAGAATAGATAACCTGGTAGATGAAGAAGAATTCAAGAGATTTTATCTTCAGGTTAGATTTGGAACCATATTATGACTGTAGCAGAGTTTATAGTGCTGAAACTCTCTCGTACTACCCTAATTTATTACTTTTCTTGGGTGGTATTGGCTGAAACCCTGAATTTATTCCTGTTTCATCAGATGATGAGGTGATGGTCGAGGGTTCTGGTCTAGTCATATTATTCTATCTGGTTGGTTTCAACACCAGGACTTATATACACCCACACACATGAGCACGCGCGCACGCACATACATACACACAGATTCATGTTTGTGGCTTTTCAAATTTTGCTTATTCGAGGACTTATGATGATGGTGGTGGAAAAAAAGAGAGATGAACAACCCAAATGTGGAACTCTTTTTTATCTTTTGTGACTTGTGAAGGACTTTAAATATTGTTACCTTAGACCTGGGTTCAATTAGTTTAGAGGAAGTGATGCTTAAGGACATTCCGATATAGAAACAACTTTCTATTGGTCCCTTGTTTTGAGTACAATATTAAGTTGTACACTTCTCCTATTTAATCTGGGACTAATCTATGTTCTTAGCACTTCACATGTTTTCCTCATTTTGAAGCCCTAGTGACATATTCTTCAGGTTCCAGTGAACTGTTGAGTTCAGTTAAAGTGGAAAAAGTACTCTTGCATTCAGGAACAGTATCAATCTACCCTTCACAAATTTTAAAGTTTCCTCTATGCGGTTATGTCTCCTTGTCAGCCCTTCACTCCTGGCAAATTGATGTTTGCAACTTTATTTTTCTCCCCAAGCAATTAAGTGTCTACCAGTAAACTTTTCACAGTTATAATTCTCGTTCTTCCGTTGGCTAGCTAGAGTTTCATTTTCCTTATGAACAAATAAGAGTTGTGTAGCTTATTCTGGTGGAGGTGACTTACAGTAAGAGTATTTTATTTTTATCTCCAATTTCATCCCACTTAGTTTATTGTTGTGGGAACAAGGTGACTTAACAGTTTCCCACTTACTAAGGCTAAAAAATGTTTTGTTGAGTTATGACTAAAACACATACAAGCAGTGATTTCGAATCTAAAGGTCCATCCCAGTTCTCTCATATATTTCAATGCTTCATCATCTGTACACTTTCTTTATTGTTTCACTTCCATGCTAATGATTTTAGTGGGATTGCTTCCAAAGTTTTTCCCTAAATCCAATTTGGAAATTTATGTTTACAAATAATAAATGCATTGATTCTGTGACTGTCTGGAAGCTCAAAAGTTCTCTAATAAGTTGGTTTCCTCTTATATAGTATTCATTTCCACCCTCATCCGTTGGTGAAGCGGGCCGTGTGGGAGCACCATCTCGAAGAGAAATTGGTCATGGAATGCTAGCAGAGAGAGCTTTGGAGCCTATATTACCTTCTGACGATGATTTTCCTTATACAATACGCGTTGAGAGTACAATCACAGAGAGCAATGGATCATCAAGGTAAACATGTTGCTTATAGAATAATAAACTATATCAGGCCTGCAACTCTTATGTTTTGTTCTTGTGAATTGTTTCTCAAATCTGTTTTATCTTTTGGCGAAATGGCGAATCTCCCCTGGTCATATTTTTCTGCTGTATCTTTTATCATCCATTCTTTTACCTGAATCTTATTACAGCATGGCATCAGTATGTGGTGGTTGCTTAGCTTTGCAAGATGCCGGTGTTCCAGTCAAGTGCTCTGTAGCTGGTATAGCAATGGGTTTGGTTTTGGACACAAAAGAGTTTGGCGGTGATGGAACTCCTCTTATTCTTTCTGATATTACGGGATCAGAAGATGCATCTGGAGATATGGATTTCAAGGTGATAAGATTTGAAGTGTTTTAATGTCTTTTGCTGGTTCATTTAAATATCATTTTTGGGTCACAAAGGAAATGAAATGCACAGGGCAATAAAAATTATTGCTCATAATTTAAGGCTAGAGATAAGTTTTTGAAGTTGTTAACCTTGATTATTGTGCACTAGGTTGCTGGAAACGATGATGGCGTAACTGCATTCCAGTTGGACATCAAGGTAATGTATATTTCGATCATCAGTTTGTGAGAGTAGTTAGTCTTTGTGGTCTAGGAAGCTTTAGTTCTTATTGATGGTGTGGCACGAAGTATTGCTCTTTTTGTGATTTCTTTGACAACTCCTATGTCTGTATTTTTTCTTAGCGATAGCAATTGTTTAATAATTGATTGTTAGTCTCAGTTTGTGGAAAGATGTTCATTGCTTGGTCCATTCTCTTATTGTAGGTTGGAGGAATTACTTTACCAATTATGAAGCAGGCTCTTTTACAAGCAAAAGACGGTCGGAAGCTTATTCTTGGTATAGTTCCCTGAAACAATGTCTACTCTAAAGATGGACAGAAGAGTGTTTATGATTGGCGCATAACATGAGAAGATGCATTCCGTTAGACCTTCAATGCTTTTGTTGTTGTGGTTCTAATATATTTGAGTTGTTAGTACATAGACAGATAATATGTGTCTTATGAAGGTCTCAACTTCTAAATGCTGAGATTGCAATAGTTCCTTCTATTAACTTTCCTCTTTTAACGCCTTGCATTCTATCATATGCATGTACCCGGTGTACCATGTTACTCGTGGTGTGTGCACCAATATTTTTCTCAAAGGTATTTTGCATCTGGAATATTATCTTTTATTCAGTTCAGTCTTCCTTTCTATGTTTATCAACTTTCATGTTCTGTACTCCTTTTCCTGACTGATAAGTTTGATGGTTTTGTTACAATTGTCATGGGACTGCTTGTCTGCTAGAAGATTGGCCTTAAAATTAAGACACTTAGTTTCGGTTTTGCAATGAACAAGGCTTATGTTAGGTTTAATTTTCTAATATTTAAGAGTTATATATTCTTCTTCTAGTTAATGACTCCTTTTGTTCCTTTTCCAGCTGAAATGTTAAAGTGTTCCCCGCCACCATCAAAAATTCTCTCCAAGCATGCTCCATTAATTTATGTTATGAAGGTTTGTACATGTTGTAGCTCTACTTTTTTAAGGATAAAATACTGGCTGCTATCTGACATTTTCTTGTTACCTTGATGTTGTATAGGTTAAACCAGAGAAGGTTAACCTTATTATAGGCTCTGGAGGGAAAAGGGTGAAGAGCATTATTGAAGAATCTGGGGTGGAAGCGATTGAAACACAGGATGATGGCACTGTAAGATATTCTGCCACTTTACTTCTGATGTACTTTTCTCTTTTGACAATTTTCATATGTTTTCTTAACTCTGCATCTAATAAGATTTGCTCTCTTTCAGGTCAAAATAACCGCTAAAGATATGTCCAGCTTGGAAAAGTCAAAGGTGCTTATAAGCAATCTTACGATGGTTCCATCTGTCGGTGATATATACAGGTCTGAAATTTCACTTCGACATTTCTGTGCTTTGTTATAGAATGGCATTGAACTATTTCTTTCGTGTTTGCTTGCAATTTTATCCTTGGTCATAAAATTATTCATAAAATTATAGAGTATTTTCTCTTGCGATTTGAAAAAGATGATACTTATTCCTGTCTCTTCATACATTGGACCATTTTCATCCGTCTATTGATCTCCTTTTCATTTTTAACATATGCCCCTCCCTTTCTTTCGAACAGGAACTGTGAAATCAAATCCATTGCTCCATATGGAGTGTTTGTCGAGATCGCACCTGGCCGAGAGGTACTGTTGCTTACTCTTGTCAGTTGACATGTTCTGCAGCATCTTTCTGAGCTGAATATTACTTTTAAGCAACAAAACACAACATATCTAGTGGGGGATTGTCTGCTGTAAAACATTTCAAATATTTCAACAAGTTTGTTTTATTGCTGGAATATTAAGCAATCTAATTATGTGTCACAATATTGTACTGGGGGAAAAACAGTGGATATATGAGAAGCTATGATGGATGCAATTGAGGACTAAAAATTTAGAAAAGGAAAATTGCAACATGGCAAACAATGTCCCAAAAAAAAAAAAACCAAACAAGCCCTTGAATACCTTCTGATCCCAAGAATGCAGAGAATGCCCTGCATATGTTCCATAATTTGCACAGAGGACTAAAGAAAACAACAGATTAGCATGGTGGAGATGCAGAAAAATACATAAGATTCTTGTTTGTTTTCATCTAAAGGTTATTAAAATATTTCATACATCAAGAGAAGCACCTTAGAAGAGCTAATAGTCTTTCTATTAGGGTTGTGCACATTTACGGTATAGTGGTGTCAATATCAAATTTTCAATGATATAACACATAGCAAAACTCGAAATACTCCTAATTCTTAAAGTTGAATATTGTTGAAGACCATGATTATTCGCCAATAAATATGTTATGTTGTATGATGGCTAAGAGTGTTTTTTCCTCTAGAAGATTAATTTGGGATGCTTCTGTTTTACTTTTCACTTTAGACTGAATACTCACGTATGATTCAAAAAGAAGGTGTGCTCATTATTTTTCTCTTTATTCCAGGGACTCTGCCACATTAGTGAATTAAGTGCCAATTGGCTTGCAAAGGCGGAAGATGTAAGTGATATAATCTTTTCTCAGTATGTGTTTAAAAAATTCATAGGAACACTACAGCACACTAACTTCTCCATTTTTAATTTTTTTTAGGCTGTTAAAGTTGGGGACCGAGTTGATGTCAAACTTATTGAGGTCTGAATCGTCCTCTTACAATATTTAATAGATGCAATATGTTCCCGTTCTCTATTTCCTTTCCTTTTCTGTTTCTTTTGTATCTTTTGGTTATCATTCTTTCCCTGTATGTTAAGGGTTCATGAGTTTCCGTTTTGGATTGTTGAGATTCAATGGGATTTGAAGTTATCTCAACAACTAGAGTAGCTCTTGACATCAAACTGTGAGAACTCAAAAGTTTATCGTAGTTGAAGAACATTTACTTGAAGAAAAGAGTTGTCAACTTTGTCGCTAAGCGTATGTTTATAGTGATGCTTTTCCTATCAAGTCCACTATTCCATTTCTTCCTAATTACTCTTGCTAACATTATGAATAATGATAGTCGGGTTAGTAAAATAAGATATTGAGTAACGTGGCATAGAGGAAAAGAAATAATCACACAGTATTGTGTTACAAAAAATATAATGCGGTGTGGTTGGAGATATTTTATCTCTTTTTCTTATATAAGATGTGCCACATGTATATCCTCTCATTTCACTGATTCAAATCACTAGTTCTATCATAACTCTATTGCAACATTCTTGGGTATGTAGATATCTCCTTGTGGTTTTGCTAGTCATTTGGAGCTTCTGTCAAAAATCAATACAATTTACGCTAATATATTTTTTTTATTTAATTCTTCATTTGTTGTAGATAAATGAGAAAGGGCAGCTGCGTTTAAGTCGCCGTGCTTTGCTTCCAGAACCTGACAAGGGACAACCAACAAATAAAACTACTACAATTTCACAAAAAGTTGCAGATAAGAGCAAACCTAAGAAATCGGTGACTGTGATGAAGAATACTTCACCACTGGAGAACGGTGAAGTGCAGAAGAGTGAAAATGTTGGTGCAGAAACTAAATTACCTTTGAAAAGAAAGGCAGTTGATGATCAATTTTCTTCAAAGGACAGCAGCAACCCTGTTGTTAATGTTTCTCTCAAAAGTGATACAACTGTTATAAATGGAGAGGCCAATGTGGGTTAATCAATGCGACCATCAACTAATGATGATTTCTATCTAAAAGTTGCATGGTTGTGAAATTTCTCATTGAACATCAGAGGTATGAACTACAAGGTTTCCTTTCCTCTGATTCTTTTGCATGATGCCAAAACCATATCTCATCTAACATTTTGGATGGTAATTTAACAGTCTAGTTAGATCATGTTTGTTTTCTGTTTATGGTTTTGAAGTAAAGAAAAATTTACTAATAGAAACCATATGCTGAAATATGTTATTATCTCATAGAAACCATCACATATGTTTGACCTTTCCTCCAGAAAATAAATGGAGACAGAATGGAACATCAAATAGAAAAAAGAACAAGAATTACGAGAAGCATCCCTCATCATAACGTGATCTTATCTCCTGAGGATAGCAGTTTGGTTTAGCCTAGGGTGTTTGTTTTACTTTTGCATGATGTCTTGGATACTTGATGTTCCCGATATTTGTGGTAATTTCCTCTTTTCAAAATGGAATTGTGACATTATGGTCAGCCTTGGTGCAGTGGTATAACCTGTTGCCATGTGATTTAAGAGTCACAGGCTTGAGTTCCAATAAAAGCCTCTTAAAGGAATATAAAGTAATGCACATGGTGTCGAGCTACCTTTTTTCCTTCAGTTGTGAAATTTTCATATCAACTTAGTTATCTCCTAATTGACCTGTATGGCCTTCATTTTTCTTGATATCATGAGCACAAGTAGAAAATCCACAGATTACGTGTTGGGTAATAGATACAAACTAACAAGTAACATGCATAACAATTCTCCTTTTACCTTTCACTTTATTTCACTTTTAATGAAGGTAATTAACTTAGAGCTCGAAAAATAACTAGAGAATTACCACTTTGTGGATCTGAAAGCTATATCGTAGCTTTAGAGACTTGAATCAATCATTGTTGCTTGTTCGATTGTGGTTATGGCATGTACAATCCGATCAATGTCCCTTTTCCCGGTTTTTCCTCTCTCTTAAGGGTCCAATTTATATATAAAGACATATCTAATGCACCTCACATATTCCACTACCATTGCACCGACTCCCAAAGAAAGCCAAGACAAGAGTATTACTAGATTGGGTGCTCAGAAACATTTCATGCTAGACCCATTTTGGTTCATTTTATGATATGCAAGAACAAGGACAATTGAAGCATAGCAGCCCTTGGGAGTCGTCATGTTGTGCCGCTGAATTGCTTAGGTTCCTGATAGTAAAATAACTAGCTTCGACTCCCAAAGGTAAGAGGCTTTGTATTGTACTCCCATCTTTTGGTTATCAATTTGTTAGAGAACACGATAGGTATACTTATATGAAGGGGGGCTCTAGTTATATCTGCAGTAGAAAAAGTATGGGAAGCTAGGACAGTATAGGCTGCAGAATAAGAAGTTATGTCACCGCATTACAGTTAGAAACAAAGGCCCCCTCCACTCTCTAAAAACAACTAAAAAGGAAATTCCCCATCTGGAATAGGTAGTTATGTTCAGCTTTTGCCACAAGTCATTTGTATTGATAGTTTTTAAGCTTCAGTACAGCATCAGCTTGCAAGTAGTGGCCTTAAGGTACTGGTTGAGAAATATGTGAAGTTGTCTTTTTCTTTTTTCTCTTCTGGGCTTGAAGATATTTGTTTGACTCTTAATTTGTAATGAATTGTGATGCTCTACAGCATGTCTAGCAGCATCATTAAATGTGTTATCTGGTAGGAAGGGGCTTTGAACTTCAGACTGTTCATTTCTTAGAAAGTACATAATTAAAGCTGATGAAAAGCTTCATTTGACAATGTTATAGAAAAGATTTCATTAATTTGATGGTCTCAATGGTGCTGCAGGGTAAAAAAGATTGTCGATATTCTTCTTCAGTCAGCTGCAACAAAGTACAGAAATATCGCAAATTTTTCATGTGCGTTGGTTTCTGGTAACAAGGCCTGCTAATGGAAGGCAACCGGTTTGTATTACTGGGTTTAGTGCAATCCCAGGAAAGTTTTGGCCAAAATGAAATAGCTCCTGATTTGAAGGTCCACTCCTGGAAAGCCTCTCTAGGATCAACATCGTACAGTGACTGTCTCGAAGTTGATATATTCATGTTATACATCGTTTCCTTTTGTTCTTGATTAGCTTTTAGGTCAGTTTTATCTACTTTACAAGTTTCCTAGATTAGATTGGGAGTAAGAAAGGATTAAACTCTTTGATAGAAGCCTTTCAAATTTTTGACGGTTTTTACAGTAAACGAGTGTGCCCCGGAGGTGTATGCGGGCTCTGGAATGGGGAATTTGTGTTACCTTACGGGTCAGTACTTTTTAAGATCTTTGTACTGTACATAAGACGGGATCGGTTATCAACAATTCAGAATTCATTGGAGGCAAAACCAGGTCCGTTTTCACATTCAACAGTGAAGACCGGCTTGACATTACATAACACTTGTTTCTCATCGATCAAACTCTTTCATGTATTATTGGATATGCAGGCAACCGTGTAGTGCCATTTATGATAATGTTATAACACAAAACAATGCTGTAAACAAATACAACAATTAACTTCAAAGCACATCGCGGCATTCAAATTGGAAACCACCATTTATGGTCTACATTACAAATTCAGACTAGTATCCTTATAAAAATTGTTCCACATTCACCACCAAAATTACTCACAGCCTAGCTATTGTCCTTTCACAAGTACAATATATACATGTGACAATATCTAAAGAAACAAAATCTCACCAATAAAATTTTCTAATAATTGGACTTTTGACATTCGTATTCCGCAAGGGAGATTGAAATTGGTCTTCGAGGATTATTATGTTAAAATGATGAAATGGTAACCAGAGCGGGAGTTAAATATCTTCCAAATATGTACCTGTAAAGAATTTGAACTTGTGTATATAAGGAAAAATAATGGTTAATAAGGAGGTTTTCGGAAGATTACCTAGAACGAAACGAGCAATACTCGATTCATCTTATTAAAATACGTGCCTCTTATAGATTACATTCCACCCAAAAAAAAAAAAAAATGCACTTAGGGTTGGAGTCTATTAGTGAAAATCTAGCAAGGTCGGCTAGTGGCCTAGTGCATGCTGTGTCGTACAAAATCGTACCATTATTTCTACATTGGTGAAGTTCCTCCGAATCATTTTTATAGTTTGAGAAAAATGATAAATTTGGTAGGTGTTAACAATGCATATTTTCTGTTCATGGAATTATGATTAGGTATCACTATGATGCTAACACCAGGTTGTTTATTTCCACTATCGGCTTCTTTTTTTTTTGGAAGATCAAAGATGTGGGTGATCATCATCATCATCATTTACCCTCGCATTCTTCAAATATCGACACGACCAAGCGATGGTGCATTTACTTATTATCCCTTCTTTAAGTTTGATATCTAAGCTAGCTAGCGGAAATGAGGTCTCTTTTTGGTCCCTTAGAGAAGAAAGTGCCCTTTTTAAAAATTGAAAAAAAAAAAGAAAAGCATTTTTAATCCCCTTAAAGAAAGTGCCCTTTTAGAAAATCGCAATTTTTTTCTTTAGTGCTCAATCCACTTAGGGTTCTTTGTGGATTTTACGTGTCAGCACTAAGTGTACAATAGACCTACTCTTCACTATAAAATGAAGCCATATTGAAAGAATCTGAAGACATACTAGAAAGACATATTTGACACACACATATTGGAAGAAGAAACCCCCAAAAAAGAAGAAAAAAAATGAAGAGTGTTTGTGTTTTTGTGTTGCTATTAGGTTTAGCTATTTCAAGCTTTAAGCATAATGGAGTTGATGGGGCTGGGGAATGCCCAAGATCAACACCGGACATGGAAGCTATGAAGCTAGTTCCTTGTGCGGAAGCAGCTCAAGATGAGAACGCTTCGGTGTCCGGAAGCTGCTGTGCTCAGGTGAAGAAACTCGGCAAAAATCCCAAATGTCTCTGCGCTGTGATGGTTTCCAACACTGCCAAGAGCTCTGGGGTGAAGCCTGAAATTGCCATAACCATTCCCAAACGCTGCAACCTCGCCGATCGTCCCGTCGGTTACAAATGCGGGCCTTACACACTGCCTTGAATGAATTCATTCTTGATGATGATCGGAAGAATAAAAGACAAACTAGCCATGCATGAACATTGTGCAAGAGAAAATCTTACTATTGCCCTAGTGTAGTCGGTCGCATAGTGATTTTGAGTTTTAAATGGTTAATTAAGAATAAAAAGAAGGAAAAAAGAAAAAACACAGCTAGTTTGTTTATGTAATTGCGTCGATGTAATATTTGAAGGCCTTTGAAGCCATGCACTTTTCTACTGTTTTTTTATAATAAAAAGCCTACTAGTGTTTATATCAAGAATAAACTTGCAGTCATTTTCATGTAGTAATTAATATAGTTCCTTTTCTTTGTTATTATAATTTCTAACTTATAGGATACATATTTAATACAGAAAAAAACATTGTAGAAAATGTTTACTTAAATTGGTTTAAAATAGTATTATTACAATATTAATTTAAAACATTATTAAAGCACAGAACTAGAAGATTTGTTCTTCAAGCGTTCTCATTGTTATTGCAACAATGAGGCTTTGTCTTCATTTTAATGTACTTTTGCCGAAATTTAACCCATGAACCGTGATAGAGATGGAGTATATTCCACACATCTTTCGTTATCTTTTTGGTCTTGTCATCTACTACTGATAGTCCTGCTTGCGCAGCAATCCAATCCAGATACTCAAACTGCAACACAAATTCACATTCAAATTTTGAACTGATCTCGCAGGTAAAAGGCTTTTCTTATTTTAAAAGAACCAAAATTCTTCCATATTTGGTAAAGCCCTCATTGGTTACATTTAGCCTAAAAGTAAATTTCATTATCAATAAACAAAAACACTTTCCTAATCCGTTACGTTTCATTTACCCTTTTCTGGTCTAAAGTAATGAATAAGTGTACGGGTGTAGCTCACTATGTATAAAATCGTAAGTTATTCTGTATTAAAAAAGAGTAAAAAGTGAAATGTAGGGGAAGCATTCTGTTTTGTAGATAACCTAAATTGCATTCCTATCAAATGTAGAGAACCGATTAGAGGATCTAATTAATCCTTTCTAATGTACGTACCTGGTTGGCGGAGGTAAGTCTATGCGTAAAATGTTTTGGAATCCCCATCTCCTCCATTTCTTGGTAATATTTCTCGACATCTGTCGTCATATCCTCCTTTGAAGGTAAAATGGTCTTTCCAGATAAAACTCTAGCTATCCACTTTGCTTGTAATTCCATCATAAGGAACTGGTTCACCTGAACAATATGTGTATTCTTTAAACATTTGAAAAATCATCAAGTAGTATTTAAAAAAAAAACACACACAAAATAGCAATTTTATTTCTTTTAAATTTCTGATCGCAAATGTGCACATTGGTGTGAAAGCCATTATTATCATATATTTTAGCAGAGTATGCTCGATCTTCACAAAATAGAATTTAATTTTTTTTAATTTTCCACAGTACCTAATTTAGCTTGTATAATATCAGTTCTTTAATCCATTTAATTTTAAAAAGGAATGACATTATTGAACTGACCCGGTCTGGTATTCCTACAAAAGATAGAAAAGGAGCTAGTTGTGGAGGAAAGACGTGCTTGTATAATGGTCCAACTCGATTATCATCAATGGTTACGACACCATTTGTTTGAAGGAAAGGAAACGCATATGTGTAACTGCAGAGATTAATAAGAAAACAAATCAGAAAATGAAAATTGTGTGGGAGATTAGAAATTAGTCTTAAAGTAACCCCAAAAAAAGGAAAAAAAAAGAGTATTAGTCTTAAAGGAGCACCTATGTAAATAACAATTGTTTCGATTATCAATTATTATAATACACACGTACCCAGTACAGTGAATGAGAACATCTGCATTAACAAAAGATCCGTCTTGAAAAGTAATTTCTCCATTAGTATCACATTTTATTATCTGTGACATATAGGAAACTGATTTAATTACTGATATATAAAGCGAACTTATACATCTTCACATAATTTTCAAGAAATTATATCAATCGAAAATTCGAAATGAATGGAAATCAATTGCCATAAGAATTATATGTATTTGAAATTCCTTTTGGGTACCTCCGGATGCTGCCACAAGTTAGGGCACCCTTCAAGTTTTTTGGACAAACCAGCACTTCTTGAAGACACATGAACTTCTTTTGCTACTTGTGAAATATCTTGTGATATATCACAGGCACTCATGGCACCACCAACCACGATTACAATCTGTACAATTTTTGAATAGTAACGGCTAGTTAACTCAATTTGTAATTTGCTAATTAATCACTAGAGAGGTAAAAAAAATAATACTTCATCCGTTCAACAAAAATAGTCCAAATTAATAAAAAAGTTCGTCCCTAAAAAAAATAGTCCAGTTTCACAAAAATCAAAATTAATTGAATTGAAATGATTTAAATATCCAAAAGATTAGTGATAAGGAAGATAAAATACACTTCCTTTGATTTTATTTTTTTTTTAGTTTTCTTCCATTTCTTTAAATGATTATATCTTTTAATACATGAATAATTAAAAAATATGTCATATATCAAATTAATCTACGTAACGAGATCTTTCCATCAAGATCCATTGTCAATATTTTTCGAGATAAAAATTTTGATCAAATTGAAGTTGTAAAATAAATGCATATGCAGTTAATTTTTATAGAAATAACTAGAGGGGACATTCAGTGGAAGTTATGGGTATAAAATGAGTTGTACATTTGGTGTGTTGATCAAATTAAAAAAGTTGTACATTTTCAAACTGGACTATTTTTCTGAGACGGATGGAGTAATAATAGGATACTATCACTTGTAATTGTTATTTAATTTTTTGAGTTTCTCAACTTTTATTCCTAGCTCCTAAGTTTACCCAAATTTTTCTTTTCGAATTCAGGAACAAGATAATCAAATTGTGAGATGCATAAAGAGAGTAAAGAAAAGGGAAAAAAAAAAAAAAAAAGAGTCTCCGACTTTCTTATACCAAAATTTAAATGACACATCCTTAATGAGAGGGGACGTGCAATAAATTAAGAGAAAGATGTGAAGGTTGATTTGACTAGGTTAAGCCTAAAATATGCACGACTAATATAAAGCCACTTATTAGTATTACATATATTTGATAAAAGGAGTCATGTTTGTTTTTTTAAAAAATAGAAAGACATATAAATTTTATTTTAAAACGTAATGAGTACATTGAATTAGCGAATTATTAAAACCTGATCTCGAAATGACGAGGGTTCCCGATAGTTGTGGGAATGGATCTGTTTTCCTGGCCACTGATCAATTCCTGTCAGAGACCAACAATGCACAATCAAAAGAGCCAAACAAGAAACAAAGAAAAAAAAAATTATATTCTCTCAATTTATATGATTATTTAATTTGAATTTTCGTTTTTAATTTTTAATTACAGTAAAAGAGTAAAATCATAGATAAGACAATCATTTTGGAACAGAAGAAATACTACGTACACAAACAACTTAATGAATTAATGCTAAGTGATAACAATACAAGATGGAATTTATTTTAAATTTCATAACTATTTTTGCGTATTTACAAAATGATCACTGGCTGAATATATTTACTTTTCATAAAAGGTACACCATGCAAATTTGGACCCTACCTGGAAGCTCGGCTAGTCTTGGAAGAGTAAAATGACCGCTGCAAACCGTAACGGCCTGAAACAATTCCGACGCCGAACCAACGTTTTCCGACACTGATTCGACGACCCAGGAGCATTTTTCATCATCATTACTCAGTGCAACCCGAGTCACTTGGGTGTTAAACCGGATGAGCTGAATCAGCTCAAAATCCTTGGCAAAATGGTTCAGAAAATGCAGCACTTCCTCATGGGGAGGGAATTCTGCGTGAATAGTAGTACCATGATTTTCATCATCCACAGGGAAGAAGGGGTAATCCGAAAACCCCATGATTTCTCTCGGGAAAGTGGCCAGAACCGAACGGAAAAGGCTGCTGTGAACTATCTTCCGGTTTGGATCCAAACTCAATGGATCATCTTCAACTTGAGGATCATAAACCCATAATCCTCCGACACGGTCGGACTTCTCGTAAATCACCACCTCGTGGCCTTCTCTTTTCAGCTCGCGGGCCGTTACTAGGCCCGCCAGCCCTGCTCCGATCACCGCCACCTTGACAGCCCTTTTCATTTCTTCTTCTTCTTCTTTTTTTCTTTCCCCCTCCCCTTTTTTTGTATCACTAATTTCAAAGTTGTAACGTTTAGATAGAGAAGCGTTATGATGATGATGGAGATCGGAGAAGCAGTAGAATTTTGATTCTCGAATGACCTGAAGGGTATCAAACCTTAGATAATGCCTTTCCCATTATTAAATTAATCAAGCCTCTCTTTGTTGACCTGTAAACCACCCCCACTCAATGTTGGGGAGGGGGTGGTCCGGTTGTAATGAATTAAAATGAATTAATATTCTCTTGCTCCCGCAAAAACAAAAAAAAACAAAACAAAACAAAAAAAATATATAGACGAAAAAAAAAATCTGTTTGTCTGAACTAAAATAATAACAACAAAAAAAAGTGGTTAATTTTCTGGGACGGAAGGAGCTTAACCTAACCCTTATCATCATCACACAGAACTAATTTTTATGCATGAAGATTTTGGGTACTAAAAATTCAGTTTATTTGAGTAGATCCATCGTAATTTGACTTGCCTATAACATAATCGTTGGTAGAGTTAACTTAGTTGATAGTCTGGAACAATGCATTGTTTTACTGCCATACATAGTTATTTATCTTTTATAATTTATGTAAACAGTGTATGAAGGAAATTTTCCAATAAATATTAAAGGAAGATTCCTTTCACTGAAAATTTGACTTATTGTTATATGTTCATACATGCATGAATACGAACCCGGGTCAGAACCAAACCAAGGTAGTTTCGTAAGATTTCTCTTTGGACCATATTTTTGTTGGTGAACTGCCATTGTAATTTGAAAACACAAACACATGTATATTGGGTAACATTTTCACATATTGACTTTTACTGAAGATTAATCCCATAGATTAGAAAGTGTAATTAATTAGCTGTATTGTTTTAACAATCGTATTTCTACTATACTGGCAATTAATCGATTTCAGACAATTTTCAATAAAATTAATGAAAGTTTGTCTAATTAAAGAGAAAAGAAAAAAAAAGTTAAAAAAAAAAAATTTTCTTTTCAAATTAATTTATTAATAACTGTACCATCCCCACATAAATTTTAATATTTTCAATACACTTTTTTATATTGACAATACAAAAAACACTTAAAAACACACACTAAAAAATGAAACAAACATGATTTTTGTCATCAATACATTACATAATAAAATTCAAACAAATGAAATAACGGCGAGATTTTTGTCATCAATACATATAAGGGAAATAAAAGGAGCCCACAAAAATAATCTTCTAATCCTTAAAGTTTGTAAATGATATATCCGTCCTAGTCAACGGATGGAGTACTTGACTCTTAGCTACAAAAAGTTAACCACTAATCTTTTATTTCTTTCTTCACTCCAAAATAATAGTAGTATTACAAACCTCTTGTCGCAACATAAAACTCTAATTTTCAAATTAATCCTGACAATACTCTTACTAACCAATACGCTAGATAAGAAGATCTGTAGTTCACTATTGTTAAAAAGGGTCAGAAATTAAATGGTGAAAATGACAACGGAGAGTACACCAGTTCCATCCCTTATTGACTTTTCTATCTTCTTCGTTCTTTTTCTTTTTTTCTTTTTTCTTTTTTGGCACTGTTGCAATTTTACAATATTGTCTTTTGGATAAAAATGAGCAGTTCATTCTGCAACCTGCTACCTTAAAACCCCTAATAAAAAATATCTACTATTCTCATCAGTAGAGTATAAACTCATGTACTTATTGATAGGTTAATTTGGGATGAATGAACCACAATTTTGTTTTCATTTGGGATTGGAAAAGTGAATTAATTTTTTAGATTGTATGGATAATCCATTAAAATTTAAAAAAAAAAAAAAAAACGAGCTACCAGCCTACCACCACAATCCATGAACCCTAAGTGTTGGTTGATTGAAATATGTCTTTATAACTGTTGAAAAGACATTAAAATAAAAGAATGAAATGAGACCACTAAACATACATCAAATTTTCATTACAATTTAGACTGAAGTAAAGAATCACTTAATGTATTTTATTATTTTGAAATATGATCGACACAGTAAATTCAACAACAAACATGCCCATATATTTTCCAAGTTGAGGTTTGGGGATCAGTTGTAAATTCATGCAGAAAAAGTAATAGTAATTTTTTTTTAAGAATAAGAATTATAGTTTCTATTTTTATTTTTCACTATTTAATATCATTATACTCTCCCATTTCAAAAAATGAATCACATTAAACTTTGCACGTATACTAAGGAGACAATAATCTAACAATTAATTTATGTATTAAATATCTGTTTTACTCCTCATTAATTACATTGGAACTATAAACAAGACTAAATGAAAATATATTAACATCATTTATTAAGAATAAGTTAGAAAAAATGATTATTAATTTGCCTAGAATTTATAAAATCTTTTCAAAATTAAAACGAACTATAAATTGAAGTGAAGGGAGTATATGAATCGGATTTAGTACCCTCAAATTTGGGGAAGAAAGCTAATACTAATGATTCCCTTGTTTTTCCTTCCCGAGAATGGTTATTGGCACAAACCCACATGAACAAATTAAGGCACAATTAGATACTCACTTTTCAGAAATTTAGATCTGAACACAACTTATAACTAGAGATTACACAGATATCAGGGCTTATATATTAAAAAACTGACAATCTCATGTAGTATTACTTCTCCATTTCAAAAATGTAGGTTATTTTTAGGTTCGGAGAAATATTTTAAAATGTAGGTCGTTTTAGGATTTCAAGCCAAATTAATAACGAACTTCTCAACTTTGCCTTCAATAAATAATGCTAATCACTTTTCATCTAGTCTTTGTTATAGTTCCAAAACAATTAATAATGGGTCAATAAATATTTGACACACAAATTAATTGTTAAATAGTTGTCTTTTTAGTTTTACGTGCATAGTATAAAGTGACCTATATTTTGAAATGGATGGAGTATATGTTTACTCAAACATCTAATTAAATACTTCCTCTATTTAATTTGTAGGTCGTTTTAGGTTTGAAAAGATTTTTCAAAATGTAGGTCGTTTTACAAATTATAGACAAATTAATTACTATTTTTCTAATTTTATCTTCAATAAATGATGTCAATTTATTTTTATTTAGTCTTGTTTGTAATTTTAATGTAATTAATGAAGGATAAAACAAATATGTAACTCATAAATTAATCGTTGAATGATTGTCTTATTAATTTACATTTAAAGTTTAAACTGATTTACATTTTGAAATGGAAGAAATAATTAATAATCAGATTGGTCAACTCTAGGGATCTGGATGCTCCTGCTGCACACATTTCTTTCTCTTTCCTCTCTGACATCTCTGAATAGATCATTCATAATCAAAATCAATGATTTTAAGTGACAATGAATGACATATCCTATAGTAGGTCGGTTTGGTATTAATGTGCCCATGTAATGACGATAGTGGAAATTTTAATTACTACCTTCATAGAAATGGGAGTTGGAACGAGACCAGGTGTCCCACATTCCCCGATCTAGTTTTTAGAATAATGATATAATTAAATATTAATAATTCTCTATCTCCTATGAAATAAATCTCTGAACAAATCTTATCGACGATTAAATTAATGATTTTTAAGTGTCAACTAGAAACTTAAATAAGGAAAGTATAGCTGTAGAACGTATCTCTTGGCTTTGTTTTTTTTTTTTTTAATACATGTATGACATGGTTTTGGTAATAATGTCAATGCATGTACTTGTGTTGACCCAATTGATGTGGCATATGGTTCCACTCTTTCTCTAGCGATTCTACATCGTAAAATCTATAGTACTTAATTAAAGCAGCAAATAAAAAGGACATGTGTCAACTCTACAATGAAAATTTTTCCGCTAAAAGCTATTTTCAGTACAAAATCATTTTTGACAAGTGGCACTCTAACTAATTAGAAAAAAAAGATGGAATAGATAAATACATAAATCCCTTAATTATAGCTACATAAAAATTTTTTAATTATAGGTATATAGTAATCTTTTAAAACAATAATATTTAATTAATAAAATCAAATGTAAGGAAATCCCCTTAAATCAAGTGAAACACAATAATGTCTTTCTAATCCCCAATTTCAAAGAATCTCTTACATTCCGCTCCTCTCTCACACCCGGGCATTTAAATCAATTACTTAAAATTTGACATCAATTATCAATCTATCTCTTTCTACAACAGAGACAAAATAAGCTGTCATGAAAGAAATTTGATTTTTTAAGGATGATTTTTTTTTATTCTTCTGTTGTAGATATTGGTTTATGATTTATGTAAACCCGGGCATAAGTTAACTGTTGTAAATTAAATGTTATAAATCTGGACATAGATTTATGTATAATAACTCACTTTCTGTCCTTTCAATCGATTTTTTATTCTTCTATTTTTTCTTATTCTTTTAAAAATGATTTGTATTTTTTATTTAATCGATTTAAAAATATAGGCGGCACCTCGGGCATTCGCCCAGGACAAGCATCTAGTTAATCTATTTATAGAAATAGGAGTTGGAATACATGTCTATATTATTTGTACTAAAAATGAAAATTTAAAATTGTATAATAATTTTGGAACCAATAGAGTAATTTTTAGAATAATAATAATAATAATAATAATAATAATAATAATAATATAAACAGTGAAGATATATAATAGAACGGTTTAAGACCATAAGATGTATAGATGTGGCATACATAAAAAGATCCAAAATACCCTTGAACTTATTCCACGGTCGTTTTTTTTAAAAAAATAATCATGTACTTTCATGTGTTATTGGATAATTTTACTGAATAAAATTATTATCCCCATTGCATTTTTCTTATTTTTTTAATGCTTTTTTTTCCTTTCCATAAAAAACAAAGGTAAATGAGAAAATCATTTGCTATGCACTTATCTTGTTATTTGGCCAAAAGAATGTATTATTTGAAATTTTTATAATTATCATGCACTTAAGTAGAATTACCTATTTTAAATCATAAGACCACCATAAGCTCCAAGCCTGAATCAACTGTCTTTTAACAAACAAAATTAATTTTATTTCATGAAGTCAGACAGTAAAAAGTACGGTGATGTGATTCCTTCCACACTAAAATCATACAGGTATTAGTATCAAAAAGTAACCTTTGCCTCCAACACGTTACGCACCCCCTGACTCGCAAATGAGTCCAAGGCTATCAGAAGTCACTACAAGAAAAACCCCCATTTAGTAACC